GGGACTGTGAGGGAAGGAGTGATTGAAGGTATATGAGGGAAACAACAGTCTTGTAGGTCATGTCAGAGAGCCTGGACTTTATATTTGGAGCAGGAGGTTACCCACGGATGTTTCACAAGAGTCAGAATAGAGGGACACTGAAGATTTAGAGTCCTGGGGTCCGGCCTCCTGAGTTTGAATCCTGGCCCTGCCATTTACCAGCTGTGTAATCTTGGGCAGGTTAATAACTGTTAATAACAGCAGTGAATATTTGTGCGCTTTCAGTGTGGTAGTGTGTCCACCCCAACTTCCATACCCCACATACAATTCTCCTTTTCCCAAACATTACCTATAGAGGGAAGTATCTCATTTCATTCCCCAACAGCCCTGTGAGATAGCTGTTGTTATTATTATTACTATTATTATTTTTAATCTTCACCCAAGGATATTTTTTCCATTGACTTCTAGAAAGAGTGGAAGGGAGAAAGGAGGGAGGAGGGTAGAGAGAGACATCAACGTGAGAGGCACATCGATTGGCTGCCTCCCCCACACCCCTCATCAGGGATGGGGAACCTGCAACCAAGATACATGCCCTTGACCTGGAATGGAACCCGCAACCCTTCAGTCTGAGGGCCGACGCTCTAACCACTGAGCCAAACCGGCTAGGGCAGCTGTTGTTATTATTGTTATCCTCATTGAACACATGGGTATCTGAACACCAAAAATGTGAAGGAATGTCTTGCTCAAGGTCACACAGCCAGTTAGCCTCAGGTTTGTCATCTGTGAACTGGGGCGAATAGGACTTACCCCATAGGGTTCTTGCCAGAATTAAATGAAACGATGTGTGTTAATTAAGCACAGTGTCTGGTCTGTAGGAAGCACTCGATAAAGCAGTTTTTGGCATTGTCAGGTGACTGGAATGTTAAGAAGAGCAATATTGTTACTGAATAAATAATGGATCATTGTGGGTAAAAGTGGAGACAGGGAGTCCATTAGGAAGCTGCAGGAGGGTTCTAGGTGAGAGTTGGTGATAGCTTGGACCTGAATTCTATCTGTGAGGGTGGAGAGGGGGCGGGATCCAGAGATGGCAGGAGTGGGTGGATTGGTGGATGTGGAAGGTAATAGAAACTGAAGCATCCAGGATGACTCCTAGTTTCTATCTCGTAGAACTGGGTAAACAGATGGTGGGGCTGTCATGGAGAAGTTAAGACTGGGGAGAGTCCAGTTGGAAGAGGAAAGTGGTGAATTCAGTTTGGGTACTACCAAGTCAGCACATCCCTAATAGCCCACTCTGCACTGTCATCAGCTTCTGGGAGGCAACAGGCAGGCAGTTGGATACACAGGCCTGGTGCTCAGAAGAGCAGTTTGGGCAAGGGAGAGGTAAGGAAGCTGGCAACATTTAGATGGTATTGAACTGTGGGAGGTGTACACAGCCCAAGGGTGGGAGAATGAGCCCCACTTGAGTATGAGGAGACAGACAGATCCTCTGTGGGAAAATAAGATGCGCAGCCAGAGACAGGTGGCCAACCAGAGGCATGTTGTCTCTTGAAATGAAAGGGAAGGAAGGGCTTAAGGAAGAGGAAGAGAGCCACAGAGTGAAAAGCTTTACTGAGATCACGCAGATAGGGCCTAAGCGTCGGACACTGGATTCAGTAGCAGGGACGCCCTGGTGACCTCGTCCAGACCAGTCAGGAGTGGTGGGTGTGGAGAGGAAATGGAGATACATATCTTTTCCAGAATCTTGGCTCTGAAAAGGGGTGAGGGGTGGGGTCGCTAGAAAGAGACACAGGGTCCACAGAGGGGCTCATTTCTTTTTGTAGCTATTTATTTAAAGTCAACTTTATATTGAAATAGAATATGAATACAGAAAGGGCATGTCTTTAGTGGTACAGCTCGATACATTTTCACAAAGGAACACAACCACATAGGATTAGGAAACAGAACCCAGATTAGGAAATCGAACATCACCACCACCCTGGAAGCCCCCTTGTATCCCCTTCCGGTCACTATTCCCAAGGGTAACGACTATTCTGATTTCTATCACCAGAGATGGGTTTTGCCTGTTTTTGAACTTCAAATCAAAGGAATCATACATATGTCATCTCTTGTGATCTCGCTGCTTTCACGCAACATCACTTCATGTCTGTAAGATTCATCCATATTGTTGCATGTAGTTGTATGTTCATCGTTTTTGCTATAGAGCATTTGGGTCGTTTCCAGGGTTGTTTTCATTTTTTATGTGGGAGTGGCTTGCACTTGTTTGAGGCTTGTGGAGAAAGTCTGAAACACTCATCTTCTGTGAGAAGGGAGAGAGATGACTAGGATTTCCCCAGTGGGAAACGAGAGCCCAGCTGAGGTTGAGATTTGCCATCGTTCCAGCCCAACTGCTGGGCCAAGACCTCTGGCAGCTCCTGCCAGCATGTGTGCAGGTACAGAGAAGGTAGGGAGTTAGGTTGCCCAGGGTTGGTTTCTGCCAGGTAGGAGAGAAGTACAGAGTGCTGGGGATATTAGCAGCAGGTGAGTGACAGAGTCATGGCTGTGGATTCAGGCTGGGAGAAGGGTGTGCAGGGAAGGTAGGGAAAAGATGGTAGGAGGGAGCTGGCAGAGAGAAAGGAAGCAGAGGCGGATTGTGAGCTCTGTGCAGGGTGGTGTCTGTGCAATTCTGGCTGTATCTCCAGTTACTGGAACATGCTGGAATCATGTGGGTCCTCCTCTCTGGGGTAGGGGGTGGGGTGGGTAGAGGAGTGCCCAGTGTTGTCACTCAGTGAACAGTTGGACAAATAAGCTAAGAGCCTAACAGGTCTCAGGTAAAAGGCTGGTGAGGTGGGGGTGATGGAGAGAACCTGAAGGTTGTAGTTAGTGTAGCTGTGATTTAGGAAAGGGGCATTCCAGAGCCAGGTGATAAGGCTGGGGTGTTCCCATGGCTGGGGGGACGGTAGCTAAAGAATGCAGAGAGGCCAGTGTTGGTCAGTGAGTCCACTGAATGCATATTTGCCAGTGTAGGGTGGCTAGCACCCAGCTTTCAAGGAGGGAATAGAAGATAGCATTTCTCAAACTGGGGTCCTTGGATATCTGGCATCTGAATCTATAGGGGGCTGGTAGGCTTTTTGGAAATGCAGATCCCTAGGTCCATCCAGCCTTTTGGGGAGAAAGGAAGCCCAGTGCAACAGCACTGAGCATCAAGGAGCAGGAGTGTTTGGGCTGGGAGAGAACCCAGCCCCTCTGAGGGCATGGGGTGCCCAGTGGAACCTAGGTATGGTGGCCTCTATCCTGGCTGAAAGTGGACAAGGAGTTTTCAAGGAAGAGCTACTGGGGGCAGGAACGGGCTCATACTAAGGGGATTTGGCCCACAGGAGCTGGAGACCAGAAGATGGGACTCTGCCTTAGGATGCAGCTTCTGTTAGAGAGGAGGCCCTGACTGCGCAGTGGGTTCTCTTGCTGGGGGCCTGGGGGTAGAGAGGGAGAGTGCCCAGATTGAGTACCCCTCTCTAGGTGTAGGGGTGGAGGTCAGGGGTGCATGGGGCTATACTCGGTTCTTTCTCTGCTTCCTTCTCGGGGCAGCAACACAGAATATCCCACACTTTTAGCTCCTTTCCTTTCTCAGCCTCTCTGACCCCTCATGCTCAGTGCTGGACTATATGCCCTCCACTGGCACAGCCCCTCCACTCAGCACCCACTCTGTAGCCTTCACACCCAGAATCCCAACTCTCAGCCCTCTGTGTGTTCAGCCCTTTTTCAGCACCCCTCAACAGCCACTCTATGAGCCCCCTATGCCAAATTTCAGCCAATCCAGCCCCCACTCCGTGTTCTCATTCTGTTTATCCCTTCATATTCACGGCTCAACTCCCTTTACCCACACTCCCCGATGCCAGCCTAGAAGATCCCGGTCAGTCCCCTCTTGGAGGGGAACCCCCAGTCACCCCTCCCAGAGGCGGGACAGGCTGAGGCCCCCGTGCCCCCCTGGTCTCCCCGTCCGCCCGTCCCGCCCCATCCCGGCGGGCTGAGTCAGGCGGCAGGAACTGGGCGGGGGGCAGCGCCGGGAGGAGCTGAAGCCCAGCCAGAGTCGCTGGGAGCTAGCGCGCACCCAGCCTGACGGGCACCGAGTGGCCCTGGTCCGGCGGGGAAACGGGGGGGAGGGCAAGCGCGGGGCGTGGGGGCCTGTCCCGGACCTACCATGAACTCCAAGAAGAAAGGTAGGACCCGGCCTTGGGCTGCGAAGGCTCCCTGGCTGGCTTCAGGGAGTGCAGGCCGGATTGTGGGGGACAGGGGCGCGAGTTTCTCCGGAGCAGGGTGGGGGTCTACGGAGGATCTCTTCCTGCTAAGGGCGCGGGCGAAAACGTGTCTGTGACTCAGTTTCCAGGTCCGAGTCTCAGGAAAGCGGAGGGGGCGGGGCACATCTCGGCACTGCCCCCCACTCTGGGAATCCCCCGGTTCTGGGCGCCGGGAGGGCTCTGGCGTCTGGGAGCCTGGGAACTGGTGGGGGCTGGAAGGGAGCAGCTTACCCGGAGCGGGCGGGTCGCGGGACCAAACCCGCGCCGGCTGGGCCTGTCGGGCAGCTCCGCTGGGCTCAAAGCGCGCACCCCGCCCCGCCAGGTGACCTCCAGCAGCCTCGCAGGGTGCGGGCGCGGAGTTCTCGGTCCACTTTCGGGGGGAGATTAGGGGCAGGGCTGGGGAGTCTGCCCCGCCCCTGGGTAAACAGGCACTTCCGCACATTCTTCGCGCGCCCCGCCCCCTTCCTGCCCCTTCCCAGCCGGGGAGGGTCCCCGCGCGACCCCCCTTCCTGCCCCGTGCGACAGGCGGAGCCTGCACCTCTGCAGGAAGTGGGGGCCGAGCCGAGGCCACGCAGAGTCCGAGGCCGAGACGCTCGCGGCAGCCCTGTCATTAGCGCAGTGGCCGGTGGGGTTGTCGGCCTCCCATCGTTAGGCCGTGTCCAGCAGGACTAACATACGGAGGACAGGCCGCGGGGAGGGGGCTTCAAGGGCCCGACTGGCGCTGGACACCCGCCCTCGCCACCCCCAGGGAGCCCCGCGCGGACTCATTCCATGATGTCCCTGTCGGTGCGGCCGCAGCGCCGCCTGCTCAGCGCCCGGGTCAATAGGAGCCAGTCCTTCGCAGGCGTCCTCGGCAGCCACGAGCGGGGGCCCAGGTACGCAGAAGAGGGGGGCTGATGGGGTCAAGAGAGTCTGACTGGATTGGAGCTGGGTGTGCAGTGAGGGTTTGGGGGACTCCTTTTGCCCCTTTCTGAGTGAAGACTCTTCTTCAGGAGCTTCCCGGCCTTCAGTCCCCCGGGGCCTCCACGGAAGCCCCCAGCGCTCTCCCGAGTATCCAGGATGTTTGCCGTGGCGCACCCAGCCCCCAAGGTCCCGCAGCCAGAGCGGCTGGACCTGGTATACACTGCGCTCAAGCAAGGCCTGACGTAAGCAGCTCCCTTCCAATGCCTTGTCCCAGGACCCCTCCTCTAGCCCCCCCATCCTTTTTATGCTAGTGGGAACCTTCCCCAACCTCACACCCTCTCCCCACTGCCTGTACCCTGGGGAGCTGGAGGCTGTAGAGGTAAGCCACTTCTTGTTGTCACTCCCTTTCCCAGGGCTTATTTGGAAGTACACCAGCAAGAGCAAGAGAAACTCCAAGGGCAGATAAGGGAATCCAAGAGGAATTCCCGCCTGGTGAGTGAAGGGTTGACAAGGATGCCCTGGACTGCTAATGCTTTTATTTGTAGTGTTGGGGAGATGGACAGGGCCAACCCTGGGTAACATCAAGACTGTTTTCTGGGGTGACTTAGTCCAAGTATGACTAGAAAAGGGGATATCAGGAAAGGCCAGGGAAGTTTCAATCCCCACATTCCCCAGGCTGTGCACACTTTCTGCTTGGGACCCAGTGCCTGCCCATGGGAGCTCCAGTGGGGTACACAGACATGAACAACAGGTTATACTGTAGTGGTACTGAGGGAGAGCCATGGTTCTTTCTGGGGAACAGCTCAGAACTTCCCAAAGGAGGAAACTTCTGCTGAGTCTTGAAGGATGAATAGGGGTTCCTTGGTAGAGGGAACCATGCATGAGGAGGCATAGAGCTCTTCCTAGGGTTTGCAGGATTGCAGGAAAGGGAGTGGGATAGGGGAGGGACCCCAGGGAAGAGGTGGGGGGAGGGGTACTGGAGGGGTTTTGGGGACTAGATCTGTGTCACCAGTACCCACCAAAGGACAAGCATGTGGGAAGGTTGGTCAATCCCTGCTTTGACTGGAGTGGCTATGGACTGTGATGTGAGGGGGGAAGGTTGTACAGGAGAGGCGTTAGATGGGTCTGGGTAGGCAAGTGCTCTGCTGGGGTACATCCCATACCTTCTAAGTGCTCCCTCTCATCTTCCCTTGCAGGGCTTCCTGTATGACTTAGACAAGGTGAGTGTATAGAGAATGGTGCTGAAAGAGGTTGGCTCATGGGGAGGGTAAAGGGCCCTGGGCCTCAGGCTCCTCCTGACGCACCTCTCCCCCAGCAAGTCAAGTCCATTGAACGCTTCCTGCGACGGCTGGAGTTCCATGCCAGCAAGGTACATATGCAGCATGCATGTGTGCATGTGGTGTGGTTTTGGGGGTTGGGTGTTTTAGGGTGGTAGGGGGGATGCTAAGCCCTGGGTGAGCAACCCCAGTAGTGAGTCTCAATGTCCCTACTGCCACCCCACTCACTTGCCCAGATCGATGAGCTATATGAGGCATACTGTGTCCAGCGGCGTCTCCGGGATGGTGCCTACAACATGGTCCGTGCCTACAGCACTGGGTCCCCAGGGAGCCGTGAAGCCCGGGACAGCCTGGCCGAGGCCACTCGGGGGCATCGAGAGTACACAGAGGTGAGGGATGGGTGCCCATGAGGCATAGGTTCAGGGTATGGCAGAGCTGGTGAGAGGAGAATGATTGTTGACCTCCTCCTGTCCCTGCCTGTCTCTCCCAGAGCATGTGTCTGCTGGAGAGTGAGCTGGAGGCACAGCTGGGAGAGTTCCATCTCCGGATGAAAGGTACTGAGTGGTGGGGGTAGACTGACAGTGGGGAGAGGGAAGTGTGTGCTTGAGACCCCTCCCTCAACACAGCTCTTCTTTTCCTCTACTCCCAGGGCTAGCTGGCTTCGCCAGGCTGTGTGTGGGTGATCAGTATGAGGTATGAGGATGTGCACGGAAGGACTGGGATGGCAGGGTCACACCACCAAGGGCTGCCTCATCCTGCCTGTTCCCCTAGATCTACATGAAATATGGGCGTCAGCGCTGGAAACTACGGGGCCGCATTGAGGGTAGTGGAAAGCAGGTGTGGGACAGTGAGGAAACCGTCTTTCTTCCTCTGCTCACGGAATTCCTGTCCATCAAGGTGACGCCTCTGCCCAGGACCACAGGACACATGATCCTATGACTCCATGACCCTGTGAACCCCTCCTGGCTCCATGGCCCTGTGAATATGTGATCCCATGACCTTCTGACCTTGTACCTCTTTGACCCCCTAAACCCCCATGACTTCAATGACTCTACAAACTTAGACTTCTGTGATCCCCATGCTCCCAGAGTGTTTCAAGCCTCCATGGTCCCATTACTCCAAGAACTCCAATCCCTGCAACCTCCTCATGACCCAATGACCATTGCAAAACCTCTGTCAAATTCCTACCTTTGATCTCCCATGAGCTTATGACCCCTACACTCTTGTGACCCCATGATGCATTCTTGGCTGTAGGTGACAGAGCTGAAGGGCCTGGCCAACCATGTGGTTGTAGGCAGCGTCTCCTGTGAGACCAAGGACTTGTTTGCCGCCCTGCCTCAGGTTGTGGCTGTGGACATCAATGACCTCGGCACCATCAAGCTCAGCCTGGAAGTCACATGGAGGTTGGTGGAGCTGAGGAGATTAGGGATAGGGCCCAGGGCCAATGGCACCTGCTAATAGCCTCTTTCCTTCCCAGCCCCTTCGACAAGGATGACCAGCCCTCAGCTGCTTCTACTGTCAACAAGGCCTCCACAGTCACCAAGCGCTTCTCAACCTATAGCCAGAGCCCACCAGACACACCCTCGCTTCGGGAGCAGGCCTTCTATGTGAGTCACAACCCAGGCACAGGCCCCACCATCCTCCAGGAGCCTGAGGATGGTCCTGAGATGCCCTTTCTTCTCTCCTAGAATATGCTGAGGCGGCAGGAGGAGCTGGAGAATGGGACAGCATGGTCCCTATCATCCGAATCTTCAGACGATTCATCCAGTCCACAGCTCTCGGGCACTGCCCGCCACTCCTCAGCCCCAAGGCCCCTGGTGCAGCAGCCTGAGCCTCTACCCATCCAAGTTGCCTTCCGTAGGCCTGAGACCCCCACCTCTAGGCCCATGGATGAGGAGGGAGCCATGGCCCCAGTCCTGGCCAACGGGCATGCCCCCTACAGCCGGACTCTGAGCCACATCAGTGAGGCCAGTGTGGATGCTGCCTTGGCTGAGGCTTCAGTAGAGGCAGAGGGCCTGGAAAGCCAGGGACCTAACCTGCCTGCACACCCAAATCCCACCCATGGGGAGCATCCTGGTCCTGTCCCTCCTGCCCAGGACCCTGACCATTCTGCCACAAGCCCCTCTCTCAGTGCAATAGGCCTTGCCCACACATCTATAGACCCTGCCCCATCTGTACATCTAAACTCTCTTCACAAGGCCTCAGACTCTAGGTCTCCAGAATTGTCAGGTCCCACCCACACCACTACAAGCTCCACCTGTAGTGCTCCAAGCCTCACTCACACTGCCATAGGCTCTACCCACAAGCCCAAGCCCTCTACCCTCACTGCTACCAGCCCTACCCCCAGTGCCATGGGCCCAGACCAGACCATCACAAGTCCCACCCACAAGCCAATGCTTTCTACCCTCACTACTGCAGGTCCTACCCCCAACACTACAAGCCCAGTCCAGACCACAAGCCCTAGCCACACTGTCACAAACCTGACAAATATTGTCATAAGCCCCACTGTCAAGCCCATACTCTCCACCCCCACTACTACAGGCCTTACGCCAAGTACCCAGGGCCAAGGCCAGCCTACCACAACTCCCACCCATACCACCTCAAGCCCCACCCATACCACCTTAAGCCCCACCCATACCACCTCAAGCCCCACCCACACTACCACAAGCCCTACTCATAAAGCCAGTGTATCAACTCTCACCACTATTAGTCCAACCACCAATGCTAAGGACCCAGTACAGACCACAAGCAGCTCCATCCACCCTGTCACAAGCCCCACCCTTACAACTGTAAGCCCTTCCACATCTCTAGACCTTGCCACACTCCCCAGCCCCTCTACACACACAGACTCCAACCCACTGTCCTGTAGCCATCCAGCTTCCACTCCCTGCACTCAGGCAGACCCCATAGTCCCAAGCACCTCCTACCCAAGTCCTGCCTCCAGTTGGGAACCCCTTACAAACCCTTCTCTAGACCCCCCAGAGCCCATCCTTCAGATCCCAAGCCCCCCTCCCTCACCCTTAGCCCCTGTGCCCCAGCATTCAGACTTGAGCGTGGCCATGACTGCCCAGGCCCCAGTTCCAGGAGCAGCTGGAGGGGCTGGAGACAGGAGGCTGGAGGAGGCACTGGGAACCCTAATGGCTGCCCTGGATGACTATCGTGGCCAGTTCCCAGAGCTCCAGGGACTGGAGCAGGAGGTGATCCGGCTGGAGAGTCTGCTCATGGTAAGGAGGGCCAGGCTGGGCTGTGGCAGCACAGGAAGGGCAGCCAGGCAGTGTCAATAGCTCTGACTCCCTTCACAACCTCAGCAGAGACAAGGCCTGACTCGCAGCCGGGCCTCCAGTCTTAGCATCACTGTGGAGCATGCCCTGGAAAGCTTCAGCTTCCTCAATGAGAATGAAGATGAAGACAATGATCGTCCTGGAGACAGGTGACGGGGGCTAAGTAAGACGGGGCGAGGTGAGGGGGAAGAAGTGAGGTGAGTGCCAGTGAAGGAGTAAGGCAAGAAAGGGGAACAGGTGAGGTGGGGCTAGGTGGAGCACATGAGTAGTGCAGCAAGGCTGGAAGTGGACAGGAGGGCTGCTTGTGGGTGCATCTGTATTCACCCCCCCGTGTACTCCTCATATGTCCTTGATGCCCATGTTTCTAACCCCATCTGTATCCCCAGTGCTTCTGACCACCCTCTTCCTCCTCATCCCTGAACTGTCTGTCTGCTTCCCTAGCCAGTCTCCATCAGCTTGTGAGTCCTTTCAGGCACTCCCCATTCACCCTGGGTCCCCCAGCATCTTCCCTGGCTGTCTTGAAGAGCCCAGCCCCAAATGAGCCAATTCCCAGTTGAGAGTCATGTCCAGCCCCTCCTCCATCTGCTGCTGCACAGCCCTGTGCCCTGAGCCCCTTGGACAACCCCTTGCACTCCACATTGCACAGACTATCCCACCTGCAACCCTACAGCCCTAGCTGGATGTGGCAGAGGGCAGATGGACTCTGAAGACCCCTGCTACCACCTGCTGGTCCCAGCAGCCCCTTCCTCCTTCCCAAAGTTCTCCATGAACTTACCCATTGTCTGTTGTCTGTGCTTTGTCTCTTCTTGCCTTCTGGGATGGGAGAACTTAATAAAAATACACTGGTGACCAGATGATGATGATGTGTGTACTAAGGTGGTTGACCCCATTTTTCCCTCAGGCCCCCAAGCAGCCTGGAGCCTGGGGCTGAGGACAGCCTCAACTCACCCAGTGCCAGCCCCCTCAGCACAGAGTGTCCAGCTCTGGACACTGCCTTGGTCCAGCACCTGTACTACTGCAGCCGCCTCCTGCTGGTGAGGCTAGTGGCACCCTCCCTTTATAGCCCTTTACCTCAGGGAGCCCTCCACACCTGCTCTAGGTTCCGCTCCCCAATGCCCCAGGTCCCTGGCATCTGGCTCTTACTGAACACCTCCCACACTCTGGCTCCCTCCAATCTCTCCTAATGCATGCTGGGACTTGTAGTCCCTGAGCTTCACCCTCCCCAAGCTCTACCTTGAGATCTGAGCTACTTGGCCACCCCTATTCTCCAGAAACTGGGCACATTTGGGCCCCTGCGATGCCAGGAAGCATGGGCCCTGGAGCGGCTGCTGCGGGAGGCCCGAGTGCTCGAGGCAGTATGCGAGCTTAGCAGGCAATGGGAAGTCCCTGCTACTTCTGCCCAGGAAGGTAAAGGCCCTGTGGGCTCTGGCTTGGTGTCTGCCCTGAACCTCCTTCCTTGTTCTACCCCACCTACACTTGTCTGCCCACCTGCCTGCTCTGTTGCTGACGGTTTCTTACACCTCCTCACAGTGGTGCAGTTCTCGGCCTCTCGGCCTGGCTTCCTGACCTTCTGGGACCAGTGCACAGAGGGACTTAGCCCCTTCATCTGCCCTGTGAAGCAGGTGCTCCTCACCTTCTGCAATCAGTATGGTGCCCGTCTCTCCCTGCGCCAGCCAGGCTTAGCTGAGGCTGGTGAGTGGGCCGCCTACCTGCCCCCTCTGCTCTCCCTTCTAAGATCCCCAGTGATAGGACCATAGGGAAAGCCAGGTCAGCCCACACAGACATGCTGAGCTGAGCTAAGGCTTGTGCCTTGGTGCAAGAGGATCCAGATGGGGAGGGTTTGGGCAGGGGGTCCCTGGACCTGAGCCTACGGTGGGAGCACTCTTCCCTCTGTGGGCCTGGGTTCCCACCCAAACCCTGAGGTCTACGGCACTGCTCCCCACAGTGTGTGTCAAGTTCCTGGAGGATGTGCTGGGGCAGAAGTTGCCCAGGAGGCCCCAGCCAGGCCCTGGAGAGCAGCTCACTGTCTTCCAGTTCTGGAGTTATGTGGAAACCTTGGACAGCCCCTCTATGGAGGCTTATGTGACCGAGACTGCTGAGGAGGGTAAGGCAGTGGCCTTGATCACAAAGTGGCCTGACACTATGGGTGGGTCTTAAGGTATGGATAAGGACTTGAGTGTACAGAAAACCCCATCCCAAGATGCTCCTTGCCCTGCTACATTGTTTCAAGCCCCCCTTCCTTCTTTCAGTGTTACTGGTGCAGAATCTGAACTCAGATGATCAGGCTGTTGTGCTCAAGGCTCTAAGGTTGGCACCTGAGGGGCGGCTGCGAAGGGATGGGCTTCGGGCCCTCAGCTCCCTCCTTGTCCATGGCAACAACAAGGTCATGGCTGCTGTCAGCACCCAGCTCCGGAGCCTGTCGCTGGGCCCTGCCTTCCGGGAAAGGGTGAGAGTGGGACAGGGCTCCCTTGAAGGCAAAGGCTAAGGTCCTAGGCTCCCAGTGTGTGGCTAAGCACTCTCCTACCCTTACCCAGGCTCTACTGTGCTTCCTGGACCAACTCGAGGATGAGGATGTGCATATGAGAGTGGCCGGCTGCCTGGCCCTAGGCTGCATCAAGGTGATCCCTGCCAACCCACCTGCCCTTTCTCTCCCCTCCTGGCTCCCCTAGCCCCAGGCCCTGGGTTTTTCCCACCTACTCCAATGGGCCCACCTCAGTGCTTCTTCCTCTCATAGGCTCCTGAGGGCATTGAGCCCCTGGTGTACCTGTGCCAAACAGACACAGAAGTCGTGAGGGAAGCTGCTCGGCAGAGCCTGCAACAGTGTGGTGAGGCTTGGGGATGGGAGATATAGGTCAAGTAGAGTTCTGAGGCATTTTGGATGATGGAAGTAGGAGTGAGATGGGGTCAAGGGTGGGAGGACCAGGGTGGGGCTAGGGCTACTCTTAACCCCATCCTTACCCATTACAGGGGAAGAGGGACAGTCAGCCCATCGACGGCTAGAAGAGTCACTGGACGCCCTGCCCCGAATCTTCGGGCCTGGCAGCATGGCCAGCACAGCATTCTAAATTCCCCACCCACTGGCTCTCAGTGCCCCTTCCCCCTACTTTCAGGGCTTACCAGGCACTGGCAGGGAGGGTGAGGGCTGGCTCCAGACACCCCTCCCCCACAGATTCCTATCAATGAAAATCTAATATATTCTTCTGTTGCTGTTGGGGTTGGTAGTCAGTGCCTGTCGTCAAGTGCCTCCCAGCCTCAGCTCAGCACACTTGCCACAAATCAGTGTCCCGGGCCTGGCCATCCTGCCTCTGCCCCACCACGTCCCTTGGTTTTGTATTTTATTTACAGAGTTTTACAGAAAATTAAAAAGCGAAATGCCTTTCCTACATAGTGTGGCCTAATGTACTCCTGACCTTCTGGCTCCAGCACCCTTTGGCTATGGCCCTTCCTGACATTAGTGTGCCCACACTCCAACTGTGACAATTGCATGTGCTTTTGCCCTGGAAATCCGGGTGGAAGACAGCCCAGGGCCTAGAAGTGGGCTTGGAGAAGAGGGCAGAGGAAAAGGGTGGTGGCATGTTGCTGAGGAGGCTCAGCCTGCTGGCTGGGCGTGCTCTGGGCCTGGAAGCTAGGGGCCCAGGCTGGAGCCAAACCATGGGGTTGGCCTAGAGAAGGCTAAAGGGTGCCAGTCCTGGGAATGGCTCCCTAGCAGCTAGCACCCTGTTGCCAGGAGGCAAAAATGAAGCAGCAGGCAAGAAAAAAAGGTGTGGTGGTGGCTAGAGCTTCTGGCCACCAGGGGGCAGAAGGACCCCGTCAGAGAATGCCAGGCTTTTAGGTCTTCCCCTCAGCCCTAGCAGCTTCCTACAGAGACTGAGCACAAGGAGCTTCTTGAGGGCTGGGTAGTAAGGGAGAGCAGATCTTTGTAGAGCTAGGGTCTGGGTGGCAGGAGACCGGGATGGCTTCCCTGTAACCCTAAACAGCAAGTCCCTCCTTTCCCCAGCCACCTCCTCTGTAATAACAAACCTGACTGAACCCTGTGGCTCCCCAGAGCCGGCTAACCTGTTTTGGGAAGCAGGG